CGCCGCCGCGAGGGGCGCGCCCCGGGCCTCCGGCATGGCTGCCTCCTCCCGGACCGGCAGCGCCACCTCTGGGGGCACTGTCGGGGAGCCTGGCCGCCCCGGCGTAGCCCCTGAGCGTCAAGGCGCCAAGCCTAAAGCCGGATCAGAGCCCGGCAGCGCCAGCAGCAGGGATGGGAAGACCACTGTGTGGATCTGAACGGCACTAAGCCTCTCCTGGGAGCATCCATCTCCCCTGTGGTGTATTACCTGGAGGCAATGGAGACCGTCTGGGGGGTCCAGTGGCGGCCAACCAGACGGGATCTCAGAAGGCCTGGGAGGGAAGGGACAGTCATGCACATCCAGGGCAGGTAGGCACTGGGTGGGCAGTGGGTGAGTAGCTCTGACTGCAGTCCTGCCTGCCCTCACACCTTCCTCTTCAGAGCTTAGTGACCACCGCCAAGATGCCTGTGTGGTTCCCAGACCGGCACTTGCTGGAGGAAGAGGATGAACAGCTGGCACACTGGATCTTAGCTGAGATGTGAGGCAGGAAAAGGCTTCCAGGGCCTCAGTGCCGCTATGTATATGTGGATGACCTAGCACAAGCTTCCAGCTCTGCAGGAACCAGAAATGGGCAGGAATGCAAGCGTGAGGTACAGGGAGGGATGCTAGGAAAGGAGCCCCACTTGCTGCAGGAAGTGGAGAGAAGCACAGTATCCCCCTGGGCACTGTTTCCACAGCCCTAGTGCAGTGAGCTCAGGAGGGCTGGCCTCTCCCCAGGCCCTGGGTGGGGAGCCCAGGATTACTCAGCCCATACCCTCCTCTGAGCTTTTGCTGACACCCTTGCACTGCCCCTTTCTCTGAGACATACTTGAAGTTCTGCAAACACCTTGGGCCCTGCTTACAGTTTACTCAGAGTACCTGTAGTCTTGGCTATGTGCGGGAAAGGGGGCTCCCAATTTCTTGTCTGTGGCCTTTCTGCCCTTTGGCCCACTTTCCAAGCTCATCCCTCATCCAGACAGCCTCCAAGACAAAGAGTGAAAAATAAAACTAACTCTTGTTTGCAACCAAGTGTGTTCATGTGTTTGTGTGTGTGTGTGTGTGTGGTGCTGGTCATCAGTCCATGTGAACTCTTTTGTGTGTCAGGCTGCCTGGGAGAGGAGATGAGACTCTCAAACCAGTAGTCGGGCCTGGCTGCAGCCCCAGTCCCTTCAGCATTTTGACAGATGTGTGGATGCTGTCAAGTGCCAGGCACCATGGAGGGAGGGGTGGGGGTGGTATTTATGGTAGAGAACCCACCAAGGCGCACGGATGGCAGGAAACAACACTGACTCCAGAGAGTTCCCAAGGTTCAGGACTCAAATGTTGGAGCTGCAGCTGAGCCAGGCATTCCATGTTATCAGGACATAGACCAGAGTCTGCTGAGCTTCCTGTGAGGGGCAGAGGATGGCACAACTAGGCAGAGGTCAAAAAGCCAGTGTCCATGACCTAACTGTCCCCTGTCCTTCCTCAGGCCAAGATAGCCTTGCTCAACATCTTCTCTTTGCTTGCAAACACCTTTCTTCGATGTCCCCAGGCCAAACACCAATCCTGGCTGAGACCTGACTCTAACCTGAACCTGACTCTGGTCAAAACCCAATTTTAGGCAAAGTCCAACTCTTCTGGACACTGACACACTGACTGGGTTGACACCTCCTCCTGCTCACCAGCCCCAGATAGGCTCCCAGCTCAGTGGAAACTTGACCCCAGACTGAGCCCTAATCCATGTGAGCAAGACACTAGCTAGAGACCCACTCCCTTTTGAACCCTGACCCAGGCTGAGCTCTGTTTCCAAGTGAAACCCATCTCTGGACCACATGATGGACTACCATGTTGGAAGGATAACCTGGAGGAGGGCAAATCCCAACCTGGAGCAGAGGTCTACCCCAGTGGGAACACAACTTCAGCTTTCCCGTGGCAGGAAAGGTCCACAAAGCTGGTTAACACTAGGTTTGGCACTGTGCTGCAGGTAGCACTTGTAGGGGAGGGGTTGTGTTCAGTTGCATGTGAGAGTCATCACTGTACCAGGGATGATGAGTGAACAGGGGAGATGAGGGACTGCAATTTTCAGCATTGTGGAAATGTCAGCTTACTCTTTCACTGCAGGTCTGCTCTGGGCTCTTGTCCACACATCTCTGCCCTAAGTCTGCCTATTTTGTACCAGTGCTGCCTCTTCTAAGCCCCTGACTGTCCAGGAAATCTCCGCTTTCCCTGAACACCCAATTAAGATTGATCTGCTCAGACAAGGTGGATGTCAAATTCAGTCCTTTGATGGAAAGTGCTGACCCAGGGAATAGGTTCACAGCAGCTGCATTTCAAAGATCAGCATCCTCCAGAGCCCCAAGCACCTAAACCTTTTCTCAGAAGATGATGTCTTGCTGAGTGGGGCACACTGTGTATGCTGTGGGAGCTGGAGGAGAGTGGGCTCTGGAGCAGTAAAGGTTGATGGCAGAAGACATTGGGTGGTAAGGGAGCGGTACTAGAATATGACTTCCGATTTAGAGTTGCCAGGTGGCTGAAGGCAAAGGATCTCAGGAGAGGAACCGGCCGGGAACGCAGGGTCCATACCAGCAGGACCTTGAATGCTCAGGTAAGGAGGCTCTGATCAGGTCAGCATCCCCCATATTTGTGGAACGTGGGCCACACATCCTCCCAGGATCTTTCTGAGAAGGGAAAACAGACCCAGCTGATCTAGAGAATTCCCATTCTGAGAACCCTTCCTGGATGGTGGGGCAGGGCGTTAAGGTGAACACTCTGGTGAGGTTTGTGTTTTCAGTATAGTTTTCAGTATGTATAGGGAGGATTCAACTGTATCTATAGAGGAGATCTTCAGATCAAGTGAAAGGGTCAGAACCCCAGTTCAGGAAGAGCTGTGGAAGAAGTATCAGAATTTCACCTTCCTGGACAGCAGGGAGACTCTACTAGGGAGGCCCAGAGGCACAGTTAATAACCTCTTTGGAGGCTAAGTCCAGTTAGCCATTGCTCTGTCACAAATAATTCCACAGCTAAGTGGTTTGAAACAATTACCCCCTCTCTTGCTCGCTGGGTTTGCTCCCATGGGTTGTGCCTGTGCAATCATCGGGACTATTTCCTCCAAGTCTGGTGGCTCCTTACTGTGTTCTTTGTGTGACTTGGGCCTCCTCTCAGCATGTCAGCTGGGATCAAAGTACCGGCATCCCAAGAGAACCATGCTAAGCTGCACTATAACTTAGCCTTTAAAGTCAGATGACTTTTACCATAGAGAGTTACAGGCCAGAGTGGCCTAAAGAAGCAAAGGAACAAGATACCCACTTCTCAAGAAGGCATCCACTTCATGTTCTAGGAAGAGCATGTGAGATAGAAAACTTACTGTGGCCACGTTAGAAAATATCTTCAGCCACATGGCCCCTGCAAGCCTTGGTCAGCACGCCTCCTTATTTAAAAAAGAGCATCCCCCTTCTCCTCCAAGTCCCCACTTGGAACACGTGCTGTCAGCGGTCTTTGCAACAGCTGTCCTCCTTCTCATTTTCCCATCCCTGACATCAGTGAGGTGTCACACAGATTGTCTGGACTCTGTCATCTCACCCCACTTACATGTGCCAATATGGGTAAGGATTCTGCCTTTGGGAAAACAGTTCTTGGTCTAAAGAAGAGAAGGTGTTTCATATGTACTTTCTGTAAGGTTTTCAAATCACTGTATTGCTTTTACATCACATATTGATCTAGGTAGCTAAGAAGATAAAAATAAAAGTAAGAAAGAATCAGCTCCCATGATCTAAGAAATTAGGAAAATAAGAGAAAATCAAAGGAAACTGCTTACACACTCACACACATTCCAGCATTGTAATTTACGTACATTGAATGACATACACCTAGCTATGTCTTGGATAAGGAGTTGCTCTGTCAACCCAAACGCAGGTGGTTTGAACCCACCAGCTGCTCCGTGGGAGATAGATGGGCAATCTAAAGAGCAATTTAATGCCTCTGAAAACCCACTGGGAGGTCAGCTTTGGAGCAGTCCCGGGCAAAGGCATATATAACAACAAAAAGCATTTGTATAAAATACAAATAAGAAACAGCAAGGACCTGATGTCAAAAGGGTTTTGTCTTAGCATCTAAAGACAATAAAGAACTAAGGTGTTTTTTCAGAAGACACGCAATATTGGATGAAACAAAGACAGCAAAGTTTACCTAACCAAGCAGAGATCTGAGATAACAAGTCAAAGAAAGGAGCAGGAGTCAAACCAGAGGCAGAGTGACCAACATTCTACAGTGAGTCTTGCCATCACCTCTCAGACTTCTATGCACCAGATTCTGTCTTAAAGGTGTGTGGACACACAGAAGAGGAAGGAGAATTGCAGCCATCTGATCAAAGCTGTGCAAACATCACAACTGCTTTTTTTACTCCTGAAAAATACCTGTCCCTGTGAGAAATAGCCCTAGAAAAACACTGAGCATTTGTAGCTCCGAGAGACGTGCTTGTGCTCCTCCCAGGCCCTGCATGTTCTCTCCCTGCTGGATTTTCATCCCCTGCCCCCACTTTTTTATTATTATGAATTTTAATGAAAATTTACAGAAACTTTGGATTTCCATTCATTCATTGTTGCACTTTTCTCCCTGCCCCCACCCCACCCCCGTACACTCTTCTCTTTGAAAAGTAAAGGAAAAATTCTTTCATTGTTTTACAATCCCTCCCCCTCAGGTCCACTCCACTATGCAGCCTTCGTTCTGGACTCCTGTCATGACAATAATACCTAATCACATATCCCTATTAAAAAGTTTTCTCCCTCTTCTGTTTCAATGCAGTATACATTATTTATCCCATCTTTCTCACCTGCTGGATTTTCTTATTCTCTAATGAATTTATACCTTTCCCTTTCTTTAATAAATCTATAATCTTTCCTTATGAAATGTCTCCTTTTTTAGCTATCATTTAAGATCCATTTTCTGACAGTAATATGACTCATATACATAAGACACCGTTAGTTGCTTCTGTTATGACTTCAAGATGCATAAGTTGCTTATAATGTAACTTAAACCACAAAACCCAAACCCATTGCCTTCAAGGTGATTATGACTCATGCTGGCTTGAAGGGTCAGAGGAGAACTACACCGCAGAGCGCTCCAGCCTTTATGGAAGCAGGCTGCCCCTGCTTTTGCGACAGAGCAGCTGGTGGATTTGAATCACTGGCCTCTCAGTTA